AATAATGGTAAGCCTTTCTTCAAGAAGTTAGAAAAATAAAATTAAGAATTCTGAGTCTGACTACCAGGAAGCATTAGTTAATATTCCATGATTTCAATTAGAACTTGAGAAGTGATCTTCTAAGAGTAAGAACTAGACAGAAATAGGCTAACTTCTTAAAATTTTAATTCTATAGTGTTTCCCAATAATTCTTAACATCCAGTCAAATATTACCCAACATACCAGGATAAAAGATTATATTCTCAAAAAACAATAGAAAAAAACATACATGAGAAATGAGCCTCCAAGAGAGCTACAAATTGGACATATCAAATATGCAAGTTAAGGCTAAATAAGATATCAAGAAATGATAGAATCTGCAGCAGGTAATTAGAATTTGTAGAATTTTTAAGCTGGGCACCAATGGCTCACACCTGTAATCCTAGCTACTCAGAATGCTGAGATTTGAGGATCATGGTTCAGAGCCAGCCCGGACAGGAAAATCCATAAGACTCTTATCTCCAATTAACCACCAGAAAACCAGAAGTGGTGATAGAGTGCTCACCTTGAGCTGAAGAGCTGAGGGACAGCCCCCAGGCCTAGAGTTCAAGCCCCACGACTGACTAAAAAACAAACAACAAAAGAATTTGTAGAATTTTCAGAAAACTGAACTGAACTGTATCATATGGAAAATTTGAGCCAAAAACTTTATAAAAAGCAAAAATTCAAATATAATTATTGACTCAAATAAATGTAGCTGAATAGAGAATCATTATACATAGTAAAAGTCAACAGAAAAGTTCCAGATTAAAGCAAATGTAAAATACAGAAAAGAGAAAAAGAAATATGTGAAACTTGGTGCTGGGGATATAGCTCAGCAGTAAAGCACTTGCCTAGTAGGTATAAGGCCCTAGAGTTGATTCCTGGCACTATAAAAACAAGTAAATAAAATCTCAAGCATATAATCATAATATAAAATGAGGAATAAGACCTGGGCACTGGTAGCTCACACCTGTAATCCTAGATACTCAGGAAGCAGAGCTCTGAGAATCATAGCTCAAAGCCAGCCCAGGCAGGAAAGTTTTTTATTTCTAATTAACTACCAAAAAAACCCAAAGTGGAGCTGTAGTGCAAGTAGAGCTCCCGCCATGAGTAAAAATGCTCAAAGGACAAAGTCCAGACCCTAAGTTCAAGCTCTAGTACCAGCACAAAAATAAATAAAATAATAAATGAAGAATAGCAGAATGAATAAAGAGACATTTGATCACAAGTTCTCTAAAATATATAGTAGACATTAAATAACAGACTTTAGAAGTATTATAAGTGCCTAGCAATATAAATGCCAAAAATGTTAAGGCAAATCATAATAATATTACTAAAGCAAAAGACAAGTACATCCTGAGTCCATGTATTTTTCAAATGTCTTATATTTTCAGCAAGTATATCAGACTAGGGCTTATATCCCTTAACAAAGATTCAGCAAGTAAACCGTAATTATGATAGATAATTTGTCATAGATTTTAAAAAGACCCAAGATTTTTAAAACAAGTTTATAATGCAAAAAGTGATCTTTTTATTACTTTATTTGTATATATATATATATATATATATATATATATATATAAACTTGTTTATACTTCACGTACTGGAAATCAAGTAAGACCTAGTACCTAATACCCTCAAGGAATTGAATCTGAGTTTACTAAGTGAATCAGTATTTGTTCTTTAAAATAGTCCTACAAAAGAGAAGCTCAGAGTAATGAAACAGAAAAAAAAAAAAAAAGTACCTAAATCAGCATCTAGGAGTCAGGGAGTACTTACTGGAAAACATGACCTGAGCTGGGCTTTTACATGAGAGTAAAAATTAGCTGAATGTGAAGGGAATCACTGAGCAACAAGGACCACTCAAGATGCTCCAAACTGGGTTTTTCTTTTTCTGGGGGGGGGGGAGTGTTTTGTTTTGTTTTGTTTTGCACATTCTGGGGCTTGAACCCAGGGCCTGAACTGTCCCTGAGCCTTTCTGTGCTCAAGGCTAGCGCTGTGTACCACTTGAGCCACAGCGCCACTTCTGGCTTTTTCTGGCTTTTTATTGGAGATAAGCATCTCATGGACTGGGTTGGCTACTAAATGCGATCCTCAGATCCCCAGCCTCCTGAGTACCTAGGATTACAGGTGTGAGCCACTGAAGCCTGGCTGCAAGTTGTTCTTATTTGGAGGAAACTTTGGTTTTTTGGGGGTTTTTTTTTGGGGGGGGGGGTGGCGGGGGTGGAGAGCAGGTGGGCAGAAAATGGCAGTAAATGGCAATATCGGGAAATACTATAAAAAAATTATAGTAGAAACCAAATTATGAAATGCCTTTGGAATATGTTAAAAAGTTAAAATTATCCAGAAAGATAGTCTCCCCTAATCCTACAATAGATCCTAAAAATAAATTTTATCAGGAAAGGAAAAGAAGCATTATATTCATTTTTAAAAGATCTGTTTAGGATGATGAAAAGGGTAACACTGATCAAGATAAATTATACTAAATTATACTCATAAACTGATATGTTGTATTGACTTTTTTGTACAACTACTTAAAGAAAAAATTTTAAAAAGAAAAGATGTACTTGACTTTGGAGCAGAACTAATGCAATTATCCTAAATTTAGAAAGAAATACTAGGAATGGAGAAGGAAAAGGTCTGAAAATAAAGAGGGAAAATTTGTTGAATTTAGAGTCTAATTAAAGAAGCAGACAGATAAGAAAAAACAAGTCTATACTGACTTGATGATGATGTTACAAAACACAAGAGAAAGTGGGGTCTAGGGCAGTAAGAAGCAGATAGAAATGACAATTTTACTTCAAATTATCTTGCCTACTATGCTTTTATATAGTGTCTGAAAAACCTCTATCAAATATGTCATATATAAAGTATATGACAAGGGCTGGGAATGTGGCTTAGTGATAGAGTGCTTACTTACCATGCATGAAACCATGGGTTCAATTCCTCAGTATCACATAAACAGAAAAAGCCAGAAATGGCACTGTGACTCAAGTAGTAGAGTGCTAGCCTTGAGCAAAAGAAGCCCAGGGACAGTGCCCAGGCCCTGAGTTCAAGCCCCAGGACTGCAAATAAAAAAATAGAAAAAAGTATATGACAAGGAACATCCTTTTGGAAAAACCATTCTGAAGGCTCCTATCATGAGACCAAAGAAGGATGTTCTTAGAGGAAGAAAACAAAGGTGCAATGTCTGTTAAGTTAAACAAAGGAATTTTTAAAATCTATCATTTTTTATATTATAAACTTGTTTTAAAAATCTTGGCTCTTGGGGGGCAGGGGGAGGATGGGAAGGGATGGGAAGGGGAAACAAAGGAGGAAGCTACAATGCTTGATAAGAAATGTACTCATTATCATGCCCATGTAATTGTAACCCCTCTGTACATTATTTTCACAATTAAAAAATATCTTGGGGCTGGGAAGGTGGCTCAGTGGTAGAGTGCTTGCCTTGCATGCATGAGGCCCTGGGTTCAATTCCTCAGCACCACATAAGCAAAAAGCCAGAAGTGGCACTGTGGCTCAACTGGTAGAGCACTAGCCTTGAGCTGAAGAGCTGAGGGACAGCGCCCAGGCCCAGAGTTCAGGCCCCACGACCAGACCCAAAAAAATAAATAAATAAAATTTTAAAAAATCTTGGCTCTTTTAAAATCTATGACACATTATCTATCATAATTATGGCTTACTTGCTGAATCTTTGTTAAGGAATATAAGCCCTAGTCTGATATTCTTGCTGAAAATATAATCCATTTGAAAAATACATGGACTCAGGATGTACCTGTCTCTTGCATTTAGTAATATTATTATGAGTTAGTAATATTATTATGATTTGCCTATGTGCCTCTGATCAGATAAAATAATTATCAAAATGAACTCCAGCAATTGGAAACAAGTGATTAAAAAAAAAATTAAGTTGAAGATATTGCTTAAGTGGAAGAGTACCCGTTGAGCAAGTAGGCAGCTCTAAGTTCAAATGAAAGTACTCACAAAAAAAATAATAATCAATATTTTAAAATTCAATATATAATAATTCCCTATATCACAAATTTCACCTGAAGTTTATTGTGGCTAGCATATTCATTTTAGTTATATTTGGTTATTAAAGACCTTCTGGATTTTTTTATTTAGATAAGGTCTTGCTATGTAGCCCAGTTGGGCCTAAACTAGTGATCCTCCTACCTCCACTTCCAGAGTGTTAGGATTTCAAACATGCACCACTGCACCCAACTCTGACTTTCTGATTTCCTTAAAGTTACCTTGGGAGTTGTAGGAGAAAAATATTTTGACATCTTAACCATCTTTTATAAAGCTAAACAAGAATATTCCCTATTCTTCTTCCTTCCAAAATGGTTACTTGCAGCAAACTGATATACACAAAATTATTCCATCGACCCAAAAGAAAACACTGAGTAATTCTTTTTATAATGTCCCGCTGATGAGATTTACATTCACTAGAAAATCGTTGTATTACCTTAAGCTATCCAAAGGTAAAAATGTGTGCTTTTATTATGTAACAAATAAGCAGTAAGTGGGGTTCTGCATAGTTCACAAAAAGCATTTTCTTAAAGTTCAGTAAATACCAACCTCCAGAAAATTGAAAAATAAAAAACAAAGATGTACTGGCAATCAGATCTGAAATGTCTATCCCCCAAGTGTTTCTGAGGAACTTCATATTTACTTATGAATGAGCAAATATGTCTTCAGCTTCATTAGTTTTCTCTTTGTTTATTATAGATAAGTGATGGCATAGTTAGACGTGGGGAGTTGTCTACAGAGACTGAATAGCTGACGACGAGAGCCAGGACAGGGACGCTGAGCCTTGGAGCTGTCTAATGAGCCACTCTGCCTCCCACAGCTAGCTCTTCACAGCTCTGTGAAAGATTAATAAACGTAAGGCAGCAAAAACAAAACACTCACAAATCTAAGTCAGTAACAAACACCCCAAGGATATGCAGTTTGCTCCTGACCAGGACTAAAATACTTACTCTCTTTTCGAACTTCCTCCAGTGCAGCAGTAAGTTCTTCCTTTAAAATGGTAGCTTCGTGGGCTATCTTCTCTCCTTTGTCTAATAAATTCCACGTTGCTTCCTCTACAGAAGCTAGAAGGACTCTGGCTCTTTTCGAACGTCCCTTTTTCCTGTTGGAAGGATTCTGGGGACAATTTACAAGTGTAGTAACCTAAAATTGGGAAAACAGGAGTAATTCATTAGAAACTGCAGGAAAAAATGTTCAACAAGAAATGTACTCATTACCTGACTTATATAACTGTGACCTCTCCATATATCACCTTTACAATATAAACAAGAAACAAACAAATAAACAAAATGTGCAAGAAAAATATAATCTTCAGATAGTAGAGCTCAGAAGAAAAAGAGGTATTTGCCCACAAGTCAAATAAAGGCATCAGGCACAGTGTTCTCAGCTCCCAAAGTGCCCAACTAAACACTAAGATGAAGGATATTAAATCTCATCAAGTTTTTACTACTAGAAGAATGCTTGAGCATCTTGGTATATTTTTTGTTTTAATTACAGAAACTTTATGTATGGTAAAATAAAAGAGCTTACTAAAGCTGTCAAATGGGAAAAGTGGAAGGCCATCTCTCAGAATTATAAAATTGTAAAATAAAATGTATTTTACTTTGTAGCTAGTAACCTATATTAAGAGAGGCAAAAAATAATTACAACTAATTTAATATTAGTTCATTTAGGCTAAGAATATGTATTACTAATATTGAGTAAGAACACATAGAAACATACAAAGTCATGATTACCTCAGAGAGACAAAGCCCCAGTGCTCATTATCATCTATTTTCTTGCCCTTGTAACTGCTTTACTCTGTCTCCTATTCTCCCCTCATCTTTGTTGGGCCTCTCTAACAGTTCCTCCTCAAAGTCCCATATCAAAAGTCCTTTCCTAACAGCTCTCATTCCCACCTTCTCCTGCTCAATCCTTTGCCCCAATTTGCTTCTCTTCAAAACAGAGCCTTTAAGTGTACACCATTAAAATACTTAATAAACCCGCGGGGCAGGAAGGAATGAATCTTCAACAAAAAAAGAAAAGACAAATTTATGATCAGAGCTTTATCTGGAAATGAAGATTAAGATATTTGAGAGGAGGAAAGACAAAAAGAAAACCTCACACTGAATTACATTATGAAATACATCCATTGCTTTCATTTCTTAATTAAGCCTTGGATCCTAAAGCATGTTTCAGATAAAAATTGTATAAGCAAAGCTTTTAAAAATCCCCCTAGGGTAAGAGGGGGAAGAATCCTGCATCCCATGTTTCAACTAGAAGACCTGAAATACCTACTGAAATTGAGGCTCTGATGACAAATTGGAGAAATGATGGCTGTATTAACTAACGGGATGGAATCCATCCCCAATGTATAGATAGGTCAAAATATCATTGTGCCCATAAATACACACATTACTTGTCAATTGAAATAAATAAATCTTTTCTAAAGAAAGCTAGCAGCAATGGCAATCATGTACTGCATCTTTGATGACAGACTGTATAAAACCCTTTCTGCTCTGCAGTGCCTAGAGAGTTTGCTTGTTTGTTGTTAGTGGAACATTAAATATTTGTTTAGCTGTGATTTGGACCCATTGCTTAGCTAAGAACTAAGACCTTAAAAGCTATGAAGGAAGTTTTACTTGACCTTCTTGCCTGATGATCTTGTTTTGTAATAATTTGCTCTATTACCATGCTTATGACCCAGAGTAGAATGTTTTGTGGAAAGTCTTTGTTTCCTTGCTGAGAAAACAAGAAAAATCACACTACCCTATACAATATTGTGAAGGTCAAATAAGGTCAAATGTTATATTATTGTTGTTTTGTTTTATTTTATTTTTTGCTTTTTTAGTAATACTGGGGTTTAAACTCAGGGCCTTGAACTTGCTAGACAGGCACTTCACCACTTGAAGCTGGTCCCCAGACCACCAAGTCATTTTGTTGTTGTTTTGTTTTGTTTATGGGTGTCAGTATTGGGGCTTGAACTCAAGGTCACTGTTCCTTAGCTTGTATACTCAAGGCTGGTGCTCTACCACTTGAGCCTCAGCTTCACTTCCAGCTTTTTGGTGGTTAATTTGAGATAAAAGTCTGCCTGGATGGCTTCAAACTTGAATCCTCAGATTTCAGCCTCCTAAGTACCTGGAATTACAACTGTGAGCCACTGGCACCCATCCCAAGCGTCTTTTTTTTATTATTATTATTTTATTTTGGTGGTTGTGGGGCTCGAACTCCCTCAGCTCTTCAGCTCAAGGCGAGCGCTCTACCACTTGAGCTACAGCACCACTTCCAGCCAAGTGTCATTTTTAAATGCATAACATGACACAAATATTTGTTTTCATTCATATATATATACATGCATATATATATAGTCTGTTTGCCACAGAGTTTCAGAAAATTGTTTATGAATAATCTTTGTAAAAAGTATTCTCTCTGAACTTACTCTTACCTTACTCCAGGATTCTTCCATCCCCACCCCCACATGCTAACTATAATGAAAGCAGTTAACAAAACACATACTATATGCTTAACAACCAGCTAAGTAGAGGTCATATGTCTTCATCTCATGGATCATAAAAGGATGCTAATAAGTCTGATTTATTACATGGACTTTCACAAACTCCCAAAGGCAACTATTTCATTATTGTCTCCATAATTTTACAGAGTTAAAAGATATTTGTCCAAATGAAGACAAATTATAATAATTGCTGAAAGCTTTCATTTAAAATAAAGAATAAGCATCATTGTCTGATATTTGCCTTCAGAATGTATTTTCAGTGCCACAATTCATGATGCTTCCCACTGCACATTCCTTCTCTATTGTTCAGATCCTCCATGCACCAAATGTTTTCCACAGAATAGCCTGGGCTTTGAAATTAAAATGAGCATTCCAGAAATGCTTTGTTCCTTATAATAAATGCCAGAGAAGTAAGAAATGTGAAAAGAACATTGTATAAGAACATTATGCTTCCATTTTTAAAAATGCCCTTAAAACTTGTAAGGTCTTCACTTGTATATGTTGTTTGAACTTAAGTCTTTCTTAAATATCCCTAATATAGTTATTTAATATTTACTAAAATTATGTGACATTTCCAATGATTCATTTTATTTTAGAAAGCAAATATGTCTTGGCAATCCTGTGGGAAAAAGAAACCTAAATTTTTTCACCCCAACTCACCTAAGGGATAGAACCCACCTCCTCTTATCAGTGTGTCTGTAACTCACTATAGCAGATGATTTCACCAAGGCTGGTGGGGGTGGGGGGGGAGTTACATATATTATCTGAAAAGGTCTCTCATCTTTGAAAGAATACCAGCACCCAGTAAAATTAGCTTTAATTTATTCGGCAGAATTATTCTGGTTTTCTCATTTCCCTTTTCAGTATAAAATAAGTTCTTTTTTAAATAAAGAACTCAAAACTTGAGTTGCAGTAAATTCTAATGCAGAGTCCAAGTTCAAATTTTACTAATTTTATACTTTGTCATTGATAAACCACCTCCCCGTCTCCATTTTTAGAACTTAGAGACCATGTTAGTATGGAAAATTTCCAAGCTTGCAGTGTTAGAGAGCTTGGGTTTGCTCACTATCCCTTAATAGATCCACTTGTCCTAGGTTCCAAAGATATACCTTTGTCAAAGTTACAGGAAGGAAAGTACATTATGCACACCTGCAAAAATATCATGAAACATGTTATTTTGTGATTAACATGTAATATTAATCATTAACCTTAATTATTAATATTAGTATTTATTATTATTGTAGTAATAATAAATAATTATTACAATGATATACAGTAGGAGCTCCTCATTGAAATAGTCATAAAATAAAGGTTTCATGATATGAAAAGAAAAATTCATACTTCATTAATTCTGCAAGCTTAAAGTTCCAGTTATATTCTACATGGTGTATAATATTTATATGCTAAAATTAGAGTGAAACCACAAGGTTTTATAACCCTTCCTAATTCAGATGTACTTCTCCAGATGTTCCAAATACACTGAAAATTAAATTGATCTACTTAGTAAACCAAGCCCTCAACTCTCCTTGTGCCAGGCCAGTGCACAAGGAGAACACATACAACATGACATGAGGTTATGATTTACTTTTGTTTGTTGTACCAGTGAAAAGAATTGCTTTAGCATCTCAGACACTAGCTTTGTGGAAATTTTTCAATGTCAACTTGAGGGAAATTTTTCAATGTCAACTTGAGTAACATTTATATACCATGACCACCTTCTTTCCCAATCTAACTCTAATTATTTTTTCTTTCAATTCTATTATCATTATGATATGAAAAAGCAATGCTCATATATATATATATATATATATATATATATATATTCTTCTTTATGAGCTAAAGTACTTTGAATTTTAACCTTCTCCAATAGCTCATAGGAGCTTTCAGGGTTACTTTTGTTCCCTTTGGTTAAATTTATAAAATAAAATACAATGCATTTACCCAAAACTGTGAGTTTTTAAAAGAAATTAAAGGAGTAAAACCAGTGATAACTACAAGGTACTATCTAGTCTTGGGAAGAAAAGGTGGAGGGAATTCTTTCTTCAAGCCATTGATAACTACATATATTCCTTACTCCTTACCCAAAACAACCCTTCCTGACTTGACATTACTAAGGAAGATTGAAGGAACCTGGCAACGTATACCTCTAATATAACATTCAACATTCACCCCAAATCAACCAAAGCCTTATCTTAGTTCATTTCAAGCCAATAAACATTTATTGAGCACATTTATTGTGTTCAAAAGAATACTCCAAGCATTTGGAAATAAAAATAAGTAGGCTCCACGATAGTGATAACTAAGGAATAAAGGGCAGAATAACTGCATACACTTATGTGTGTACAAAGACAGTTTTGCAGGGCTGGGAAGGTGGCTCAGTGGTAGAGTACTTGCCTTGCATGCATGAGGCCCTGGGTTTGATTCCTCAGCACCACATAAGCAAAAAGAAAAAAGCCAGAAGTGGCGCTGTGGCTCAAGTGGTAGAGCGCTAGCCTTGAGCTGAAGAGCTGAGGGACAGTGCCTAGGCCCAGACCAGACCCAAAAAAAAAAAAAAAAAAAAAAAAATTTGCAAAGACAGTTTTGCCAAGATTGAAAACATTCACAAAAATGAAGCAGATCCTAGGGTTAAGGACAGATGTCTTTCTCCCAA